ATGCATCCCAAATAGAGGATAGTGTGTTACTAGGAGGGAGTGGGTTTCTTATGTAAGTGTAGACTAGAGGTATAGACTCTTAACTGAATTGACTGAAGAAAACTCGTATGTCTATGCTCGTATACGTAATATATAACTAATGAATCGAACGACCTTCAGATGGACATCCGATCCTACCAGACCACATCTCAACGAAGAAAAGGAAATAGGGCGGACAAGCCTTCCTAAGTCCTTCAATCATTATTTATATGCATCTATACAAGCATAAACATACATCTAACTACGCTTGAGTGTGTATCATACGGTGAAGTATAAGTGTACAGTGGAACATCTGAGTCGTGAAGTATAAGTGTATAGTGGAACATCTGAGTCGTGAAGTATAAGAGTACAGTGGAACATCCGAGTCGTGAAGTATACGTGTACAGTGTGGGATAATCGAACCATGAAGTATAAGCGTACCAAGTATAAGTGTATCACGAAGCAGAGACGACAATAAATGATGTAAGAACGTCTATCAAGTATAAGTAGAGTAAAGTCGTTATCCAGTATAAGTGAAGGAGAAATCATATCACTAAGTAAGAGCATGAATAAGTATAAGTGTCATCAAGTATAAGCGACTATAGGTATAAGTGAAAGTGTTACCGAGTCAGAGTATAAAATAAGTATAAGTGAAGCAGTAGTATTTTATAAGTAAAAGTATACGTCGAAAAGGGAAATCTTTGATGAAAAATCTTTATGTACAGAGAAAATCACAAATTGTATTCCTTCGTAAAATACGTTTAAAACCTTAGAGGATCTTTCATAAACTAGTTTAGAATGAATTTGAATAAATCAGTATAAGTAAAAGTTATGAAACAGGTAAAAGTCATTTTAGTGTCCCACTCGGTAAAACAGTGTAAAGTGGTAAAATCTTGTGCATGCGGGTTATCAATCATATGCGATTGACATGATAACTGGCATGTTTAACTTTTTTACCCCCCCCCCCCCTATAAAACATTTAAAAGCATTTAAAAGGTTCATTCAAGGGTATGAACTCACCTGGTGTAAGTAGGTCCGATGAGAGTGTTGTTTGGGCGTTCGGTGCCACATAAGGACTCGAACACACTCAATGACTTATTTAACATATGATAACATATGTTCATATACAATTAGTATATTTAATGCTAATTACACAAATATACGCGCTCAAAGGAGCGGAAAACATTTTTGGTTAAGTGTTTGGGGTCCTGGGTAGCGTTTAAGGGTGCTACAGGTCTCCTATCAGTTGTGGAACTTTGCTAAACTCAAATATCAAGTGTGTGAAGGGTTTTAAAGCATTAACATGGACCATTTTGGAGTTTACAGCCTAACCCAAGGGAGTTTACGGCCGTAAACTCCCCAGGTCATATTCTTGGGTGTTTAATGCTTCTAGCTTGCTCTTGGGATTTTTCTAAGGACTTTTGATAAAAGGCATGAGTGGATTTGAGGCTTCTAAGGGCATTATATTGGAGTTTACGGTCTATGAACACTCCCATGGGAGTTTACGGCCGTAAACTCTCATACCTTGGATTTTGTGAAGTTTAAAGTCCCTAATGCCTTTCTAGTGATTTCTAATGAAGTGTGATGCTATTTTGGAGGATTAAAACCATCATTTGAGTGGGTTTTGGGAGTTTACAGCCTAGATATATGCTTGGGCCATAAACTCCAAGTCAAGCCTCCTTTCATTGTGTCTAAGTCCTTAAATCCTTTCTAGCATTTTATAGAGATAGTCTAAGGCCATTTGGGGGACAAAAACCAACATTTTGGGCATGTTTGGGGAGTTTACGGCCTTGGAATAGACTTGGGCCGTAAACTCCTTTTTATCCTTCATTTTGATGTGTTTAATTGATCCAAACCCCAAATACTAAGTCCCTAAATTATGTATGAAGCCTAAGGGTGGTTTGGGAGTGTTTTGGGACATTTTGACATGGTTTAGAGGGGTTTACGGCCTAAGCATGTGCTTGGGCCGTAAACTCACTTTTATGCCCCAATTCATTGAGGTTTGATGTTTAAACACTCCTAGGCTAGATCCCTAATTAGTTTCCAAGCTTAAGGACAAGTTTAGAGGCATGTTTGGCACCATTTTTGGGGTTTACGACCCTAGAGTGTTCCTGGGCCGTAAACTCCTTATTCCACGCCTTCTTGGATGGTTTTTGGGCTATAATTACAGCTAGTAATGTTTAGAACAAACTAGGGTAAGCGGACTTACAATTTGGAAGCGTTTGGTTGCGGTTTTGGGGCGAAAACGGGTCTAGAGAGAGAGTATAGAGAGAGAGTGTAAAAAGTTTCCAATAGGATCCACTCACCCTTATATAGGGTTTTGAGTCAGGGCTCCGTGGGATTTTACCCGATACTGCCGTTAAACGGGGCTTTTGGTCGCACCCGATTTAGTGGTCGTAATAATAAACTAATATTTCCAAGTAAATGGAAATATGTGTTATGTATTTTTATTTCCTTTTACCACGACTTAACGACATATAAACATACACAATTGAAATGTTTGTTAAACTAGACGACTTCTCATTAACGGAACTTTTGAACAGTGGATTATTCCGTTAACAGTAACGGAGAAGTGTAACGGGGCAACTTGGGTTGTCACAACTGAGTGAGATTTACTTAGCGTACATGATTTACAATCGATGAACAGTTACACATGAATAGAATTTCATAGCTAAAATGCTAGTTGTGACATAATTTATCACGTTTCACACCACGACGTGGTTGACATATTCCGACATCATGGTTACTGTACATTGCAAATTTATTTGTATTCTGCACTCCAAGTTAAAAGTCCCTTGTCTTGATTCATTCAACTGGAAAATTCAGAAGCAGAAAAAGTCCAGTTTTCCGCTAACATTCAAGATGACTACGCTTACCCACAACAATCAAGTCGACCTCACCATTACTACATTAGGGGAGTCTGTTCATTTTTCGCAATTTTTACATTTTTATGTGCTTTTAATTATTTTATGGTTACAGTGTGGACATTGTATGGAATAATGTAGAAGTTAAGAATCAAGTTTGAATATTAATCAGATTAACTAATTAGAAATTATATGAAAGATTGAACACTGATGTAAATAAGATCGTGATTCAGTTCAATATTACGCTTTAGGTTTACAAAGTACAAAAGTAGACAACACTGTAAAACCTTATCTAACTCTAGTAAAGACTCCTATTTATAGGAGAGTAAAAGCGTACGAAAAATATACTAAGAACTACACATTAAAGCTTCGTATAAAATGCCTTAGTAAAATAGATATCAAAACATACGAAGAGTTTATACAAGACTTCGACTCTTTACAACCAAACTACCCTTACATTCTCCCCTTTGTAAACAGAGTTGAAGACTTCAATTTGTAAGAAGTTGAATGGAGTACATCATTACTCTTCGTATCTCAGTATACCAAGAGATCATATTCTTAAGTTCCTTCTTGTCACCTTCATTATTCTTCTTGCAATGGTTCATACGAACAATTAAGTTCGTATATTGCGAAGTAGAATATCTTTCAACTTCACTTGCCTGGAACAAAAATCTCTTTGACTCTCCAGACTTATCCTTCCCAAAGAAGACTAAGCCAAAAGGCTTCTAGCATATTTCACTATCTGCATATTTCCTCAAGTCTGCTTGAGTCTTCGAAGTAGCCATTGGTGATGTAATTTCGAGACCTTTTGCTATAGCCAACTCCACATCTGTCATTGCCAGACATTCATAATAATTTTCGATAAAAATTTTGATGTGAGTAACTCCCAGCTTGTATTCATCAGGCTCAGTGTTTTGAAGATATGAAAATGATCATTCCTTTAGCAGTAATGCAACTTGTATAAGATCATACAAGTTCATCAAAGGAAAGTTTGCTATTGTAAACTCGCACACATCACCATTTTCCCTGGTCACAATATACTTCATGTTTTAGACTGTGTTCTCGAAGACCACATCCTTCTTTATACTGATGACCTTTTTAATCTTGACTAAGCACCACACTTCTTTGCAGGCTTGGCAAGAACCACATGAAATCTTATCTTCATGTGTGTGCCTTCATCCTTCTCCTTGAATTTACTTTCAGCATTGAACTGAGGCATGATGAACATCATTTCGTTAATTGGAAAGTCCAATTGGCTTGCATCCATATTCATGACAATATGACTCTATTTAAGCTTCTTCTCAAACGAATACATGTGATTGAATGCAACCTTGGCTATAACTTTTTCATAGTTGTAGTTCTTCGATGGAACACCCTTGTTCATGCCAGGAGGATCACTGGCCCTTTGAGTCATGATGCTTTGTATCATCCTCATCTTCTCAACTTCTGCTTCAGCCTCTGCCTTCTTTTCATCTTTAGATTTTCAATTAAAATTGACTTTCCCCTTGCCTTCAAACCTGATTCCTCTATCACTTCTCTTCTACCAGTATCAACAAATTTACCAATCACAATACCTTTTGAAATTGGTCTTGTAATTGGCACAGTTGTAATAATTATAGAAGTGATAGGACCAGCAGTTGCTATCACTGGTTTTGAAGTTGGAATTTTGGAAGGAAACACCTTTCCCACAACCTTCTCATCTTCACCACTAGCCTTCGTACCTTAAACTTTCTTTTCTCCCCCTTGCACCCCTGTGCTAGCAGGTGGGGCATCCGTGGTAGGAAGAAGGCTTGATATTCTAGAAAGAGGTGCCAACTGCTGAAGAAGTAAGGCTTCGAATTTGGAAAAAATATTATAAGATCTTCAGAAGAAAGTAAAGAAGACGAAGTAGGTGCAGAAGATAAAGCTTTAAGCTCCTTTAGCATTGAGAAAACCTCCATGAAATTTTTTATTCTCAGCTGTAGAAAGTTGAGTAATTTGAGGACTCAAACTTTGGTACAACTTTGAAAATTTAGTAACAACATCGCAGATGATATCTACCTTTTGATTTAGAGATGCAAATTCAGTACGAACATTTGCAATGTCTTTCTTCATATCTTGGCGAAGTTCTTGAAGTTTTTAATTGATATCTTCTCTCACCTTCTTCACATCTTGAATAAACAAAATATATCTTTCCTTCACAATTGACTTTAACGACTTCAAATAACCATTAAATGTAGATTTCTGAGCATTGACCCTCAACTCTTTATTCTTATCACAATTGTCAATTTTCTCGAGAAGACGAGTCTCAGAATCCTTAATCATCCCAGACACTTTCGAAGAAAGCCTTCCTCCAATCATCTTCAGCATACCATAGACTTCAAGACTTGTTACAGAATTTCCTCCCCAAGATCTGCTTGAGACTGAAGAATTGAATTGAGTTTGGTATTCAATATCTTGAACTGTTTCATTGTCATTAGCATATGATCCAGAAAGTCTGTCTCTTCTTCATCAAACTCTAAATTTTCAAAGGTTCCGCCAAAACCTTCGGACTCGTGTTCTGTTTCCATGAAAGAAGAATCTTTGATTGGTGAAGTAGTGGTAGGTTGATCAATTGATTGTGAAGAAAACATAGATGTGAATGGTTGTTGAATAATAGTTGCAAAAGAAGGAGATTCGGTTGTGGATGTAGTTGGAATGATAAGTGTAACCTGTGAAGAGAAAGAAACAGTTGTGACTGGAGTAACATCTGAAGAATTACTTTTGTCGGCAACATGCGAAGCATCCTCACCCATTGTGACACTTGCATCCATATTAGATATGTTTACAATAATGTCAGAAGTTTGTGCCTCCACAGAAACTGTCTTGGCAATCGAAACTTCGGGTGGAATTAGATCATCTTTTTGAAGATCAGCTTCCGGTGTCTCTGGAATGGTTTCAATTTCATCAGCTGTAGATTCTGATGAAATAACCACTATAACTTTCTTCTTCTTCTTTGAAATATGTTTGGCCATGTCTGTTTCCCTTCTCTTCTTAGAAGATGGTGATACATGGGCAGTAATCTCACGAAAAATGACTCCTTGATGCGAAACCTGCGGTTTACGAACAACATTGGTCAAAGGTGAGAGACTCTTATGCTTAGACTTCATCTTGATTCTTTGAAAAACTCCAGTCATCAAAAGAATAATTTCCTTTTGAGTTAAAGGGGTATCAGCAATAACAACATCTGGTTGGATTGGCTCAGGCTCTGAGATTGGTACTTTCTCCGAACTCTTTTCTTATGTAGATTCTTTAACAGATTTCGTAGAAGATTCAACAACAACCTTCTTCGAACGTTTCGACTTCTTTTCTTCCTCTCTAGCCAATAGAACCCCGGTTTCAACAAAAGTATCAATGTGTTGCAAATAAGTAATGAGAATGGTGTTGGTAGGATCAACTCTCTTCAGCATTGCATCCACAATGCGAGCAACAAATGGAAATTCATCGGTATCATCAATTGGATCTTTCGGGCAAATCTATATATGAAACACTGCCTTTTCTTCATCCGTGGGTACTAAAATTCCTTCCTTCTCATAAAAATGTTGTAGAATCAAGATCCAATAACGAGCACACGAAATGCCATGAATAGCATTTGTGTTCTCTATACTTTTTCAAGAACTCCTTCCATAATTGAGTAGAATAATCGACCTGAAGATGGCTTTTGATAGAGGAATAGAGAATGAGTTGAACATGGCTTTTGATAGAACAGAACTCTTTAGAGCAACGATAAGCATTTTCAGTTCTTCGGGATAGTGATAAACGTTGGCTTTAACTTGATAATTTGTTCCTTGAATCTTCACGATCGGCAATGAAGTTACATCATCATCGGTATGAGACAAAGTTGCATCAGGATTACTAGTCTCCATTGTGAGGGTTTGAGGGTTGGATGTTTATCAGATAAAATTTGGGAATATGAAAGCGTAAACTGATAATGAACCCTTGAATCCCTTTTTATATGTAACGCTGAAGTTTGGATTCAAAGCAGGATAAGCATTTAATGATCTGTGACGTGTCACCATGAAACCCGTGTCATGATGATGAAAAAGTAACCATGCGTGATAATGTAACTGTCATATCTCCTCAAAACCCGCACGGAATTTAACAGTCTCTTCAAATAGCCTGGATTGTTTGCCCCATTAGAATAGTAACTGTCGAAACCCTTCGGATGGGGTCAAGGCTCTTTTACTTTCTGGTTTCAAAGTAAAGTCATTTGCCAGATGTTTGAAATCATCAGCCTGAGTTGGTATTACTCAGAACCTCAAGGATTTCATGTGTGTCAAGTGTGTCAAAGAATAAAGATAAGAAGCATTTTTTTTTTGATATTCAGTGATGTCAAAAATTCAATTTGATACGAAGGTAGTTAAAACCCCGGGAAAAGATTGCTTCGTTAATTATCAAGAGAGATAGTCAACAACTTGTGTATTTTCCCATGAAATACAATCGAATACTTGTAAATAATTATCGAAGGGCTTCTTTTAAAAGGCTTTTGAGGTGGTTTAATGAATTTCGTTACATATCAAACTAAACATAAGGTGAGTAATTGTAACATAAATTAATTGTTTGACCAATGTAGTCAGTGACAAGTTTGCTTTGAACAACTTTTAAGTAACAAGGAATTTCAGATAAAACTCACACTGAAATCATATTCAAGAAAAAAACTGTATTATGGATCCTGTTGGGTAACAAACATCATGGGTTTCGAATGTTTGATCAAGACCACACATAAGAATTGAATATGATTTGGAGTTTCGAACGAAGATACTGAAACAAATGTTTCTTTAAAATCTGGAACTAAGTTCCCCATCAATTCCTTAAAGGTTGATTACATTCGGTTTCACTTCCATCACTGTCTCATGATGTCTGATCATAAACACAGATTTGTGATATATCTAAGTTTCAATTGGTTTGATCAGAAACCTCTTGGACATATGTCTTCGTGTGTGATGGTGTAAGAACTTTGAGATGAAAAAGATTGGTATACGAAGAAACATGTACCTCTGTTATATTGGACCAAATAGAAAACACTTAACTCATGTGAGAAGGTAAGGTAGCTCATTGGACTAATGTGAATGTAAGCCTAATTACGAAGAAATCTTCGTATGAAAATTTCATTAAGGCTTTCAAACATTGAATCATTTTGAGGCTTTGGACAACATGCAACTGCATGCTTCTAGGGACATCCTAAGTAGTTAAAATTTTTGAAATTCAATGAATAGCATGATAAATGTACCTCACCCTAGAACTTGTAAGCCTTATCCACTTTGTATCTTCACGAAAATCTGCAACATCATACTTGAAAAGAAAGACAAAACAAAATCTTTTTGTTGTTTTTGATTTTAAAAAAAAATTAATAACAAAACAATTAAAAATACTCATTGAAAATATTCGAAGTTTTAAAAATACCAATCATACAAATTCGAAGCATTCGAAGAGTTGACTGTGAACAGTAACCTCTGAATACTTAATGATTTTTGTTTGTCGTTTTCTTCCTATCATTGTTTGTCTTTTTCGCATGGAATTGAATTTCCATCAATCATGCCTAGTCCTTCCAAAATTCGTACAAATGATTTTTCATCCAAAGCTTTTATGAAAATATCAGCTAACTGATCCGTTGTTTTCACAAAATGTACTTCAACATTTCCTTCCTCCACATGATCTTTGATGAAGTGGTAACGAAGAACTATATGTTTCGTATTTGAATGTTGCATAGGATTATGACAAATTCTTATTGCAATTTGGGAATCACAATATAAAGGAATCTTTTTCATGTTAATTGCATAATCACGTAATTGACTTTGAATCCATATTATCTGTGAAGTGCATGCAGCAGCAACAACATATTCAGCTTCAACCGTTGAGACTGAAACACATGTCTGCTTTTTCGATTGTCAGCTCACCAACTTACCATCGACTAATTGACAACCTCCACTTGTGCTTTTCCTGTCAAGATTATAATCTCCCAAATCTGCATCTGAATATGCTTGAATAAAGAACCCTGTATTCGAAGGATACCACAATCCTAGAGAAGAAGTTCCTTTGAGATAACGAAAGATATTCTTTACAGCAGTGAGATGTGGTTCTCGTGGATTTGCTTGATATCTAGCACAATTACATATAGAAAACATGATATCAGGTCTACTAGCAGTTAAATAAAGTAAAGATCCAATCATGCTTCTGTATAAAGTAAGATCAACTGCAGGTTTATCTAACGAAAGAGTTAATTTGATCCCAGTTGCCATCGGAACTCGTAACTTTGTGTTATTCGTTAATCCAAACTTCTCTAGTAGATTCTTCGTATACTTTTCATGATTAATGAAGATTCCTTCTTTGCTTTGACGAATGTTTAGACCAAGAAAATATTAATTGAGCCAAAGATAATATCATCAACATAAATTTGTACAAGCATAAGATGATTCCCAACTTTCTTATGAAATAATGTGGGGTCAAATGATCCTTGTTTAAATTTAGACTGCTTAAAAAATGAAGTAAGAGTTGCATACCAGGCTCGTGGTGCTTGTTTCAAACCATAAATTGCCTTATCTAAAATATAAACATAATCAGGATGTTCTTCGTTAACAAAACCTGGGGGTTGTTCCACACAGACAGTTTCTTCAAGTTCTCCATTTAGAAATGCACACTTTATGTCCATTTGATAAACATCAAAGTCTTTGTGAGATGCATAAGCCAAAAATATACGAACCGCCTTGAGTCTTGCGACAGGGGCAAAAGTTTCTTCATAATCAATTCCTTCTTGTTGAGAGTATCCTTTAACAACAAGTCTGGCTTTGTTTCGAATGATATTTCCATCTTTGTCAGTTTTGTTTTTGAAAATCCAATTTAACCCGTCAATCGAAACATCATCTGATTTAGGAATTAATCTCCAAACCTTATTTCTTTCAAATTCAGACAATTCAGATTGCATTGTAACCACCCAATCTGACTGTTCCATTGCAATCTTTACTGTCTTTGGTTCAACTTTAGAGGTAAAAACATTGAACATGCAAAACTCTTGATGAGTATTTAATACCTCATTCGTTGCACGAATTTGACCCCTTGTTAAAACTCCCTATTGTGGATTACCAATTATTTGCTCCTTCGGATGATCTTCTGTCCATTTATCCATTAGTGGATAGGATGGATCGAAGTCCAAAGGTGCGTCTTCGTACAATTCGTCATTATTGAACCTGCAATTGAACAAACATCATTAACATCATGATAATTTTCATTATTTTGTAATAGCTCCTCCTCAACATTAGCATTTAATCTCTCCCCCTCAACATCAGCATTATCTCTCTCATTCTCCCCCTCGAAATAATGCTCCCCCTCCATCAGAGTGTTTGAATCCAAATGCTCCCCCTCCATTGGATCATTTTGCATACTTTCGCCTATTTCTTGAGGAGATGATGTTGAATCATCAGTGAGCTTTGAAAGTTCAGGAATATGATTATCAGGACCTTTTCAGCATGATCTAAAAGTCCAAATATCAAATCATAATCAATATCCAACATTTGCATTTGTTCAGATTCATCTTTATTTTCTTTCAAAATTGGAAGATTTTGAAATTGTTGTTGTGATTGTTTGATATAATAATCATCAAATGTAAGATTATAAGTTTCTTCCACTTTTCGTGTACGATTGTTCAATACACGATATGCCACTGAATTATGCAAATACCCCAGGAAAATCCCTTCATCAACTTTACTTTGAAATTTCGAAAGGTTATCCCTGAAATTCATAATAAAATACCTGCATCCGAAGACGTGAAAGAATTTTACATTAGGTTTCTGATTATTTAGAATTTCATAAGGTATAATATTAAAATGTTGATGAATGAAAGATCTATTTTGTGTAAAACATCCAGTGGATATTGCCTCAGCCCAAAGATATTGTGGTAAGTTCGCATATGCCAACATAGTCCTTGCAGCTCCGCATAAAGATTGATTTCTTCGTTCAACAACATCATTCTGCTGTGGAGTGTATGGTGAAGAGAAAATATGCGAAATGTGTGACAACCCGAATATTTCGTATATATAGTTTCAGCAGTCCATAACTTCATTTGAAAATCAAATTCATTTCCGCCATCAGTTAGCCCAAATTAAAGTCCGTATTAGTATTCCGAGTTGACTACACTTAAGGA